AATAAAAATCACAGGTACTCTTGTAGTGGAGAAGTCGGAACAGCAATTACCTGCTGGGAAAACCGGCCCATTATGTTCTCTGGCTGAGAATACACACCCTTCATCTCATTGAATACAACACCTGGAACATGTATTTACGCATCAGAAAAAAATCTCCGTAGAAACAAGCATGTATTTCTTGCGATGTCTTGAACAATCGACCAATTATTATGTTCGATTTGTGAGCGAGAGAGGAGGACATGCTTCACAAAGTCAAACTCATGCATGCGTCCATAAAATCCGAAAATCTAATCAAACGAGGTTACGAAAAGCATATAAGGTATTCAATGAACAAGAGCAATCAAAAGCTTTTGAAACCTGGTTAGTGTCATATAGTGGCATACCTTTGTAGGTGATATCTTCTGAGGGCTCATTGAGCTCGTAATGCCATCCCTCTTGTTGGAATATTTGTACATCATTTACACAACGTGGGAAAAAAACAGCATCCAGATATACATCCACCAGATTGTAAAAGTCCTATATCCAGGAATATCAAACACAGCACACAACGTCAGAACAACAGTTTTTACCCAAAATCAGCCCTGCTTAATCAACAGCGAATGGGAAGGAACTTGTAAGAACGTCAATTGTCCGTGTCCCTGACAGCAACTGATAGACTTAGCCTCGACACTGCACTAGGATCACAGAAATAAAAAACTGAACAAAACAGAGGGTTAGGTGCACGTAATATTATATTACTTCATTTATATAAAAGAACACTGAATCATACCTTTAAATTGGTCGAAGCTACAGGATAGCAAGTCCGATCAGGGTACGTAAACGCATTTAAGAAGGTATTTAAACTGCTCTTGAGAAGTTCTACAAAGGGTTCTTTCAACGGGTATTTCCTAGACCCACACAAAACACTGTGCTCCAGAATATGTGGGATCCCAGTTGAATCTTGACTGCACAAAAGAGTCAAAAGTACGTCACACCATAGTGCTCATAAGAGAGCTCGCAGATCGGTAAGAGAATGGTGAAAAAAAAACGATAACACATTCTCAAAATCTCTCTGTAAACGAAGTTGCATACAAACGCACTTCGTCAAATGTAGGCCCAGGTCTGTTGGAAGAAAGTGACTCACGGTGGTGTTCTGAAGACAATTCCAAATACTTTGTTCTCATCGCTATTTGACACGGACATAATTTCAGCTCCGGTTTTCTTGTGTCGATAGAGAATTGCTGTCGAGTTGTACTCGTCTATGAACTGCTCGCTAATTACCTCATAACCTAGTTGCTTCACCATTTCTGGGTTTGCTCCTGCAGTAGAAGCAACCACAATCAAGAAATCATGCGCTGATCCAGGTACATAGGTAGGAGGGTCTACCACTTCTAATTGAACCTCAGCCTGTTCGCAGGGTTTAGGAGATAGCATCCTCATGACAGCTCGAATTATCTTAACAATTCACCTTACTAGCGTAAAATTGGTCAAGAGTAATTGTCATTTCCAAAATACGAAACCCACGAAGAGTCTGTAACAGCAGCAACTTAAAAATCTTCAAGGCAGCGTGATCTGCATTCTCGGACCTTGGAGAGCACGAACTCTTTGACCCCCATTGAAAAACGACGAAATCTGAACGCGGATTTCAGCTGTGGGCAACAACTACCACTCTCCCCGTAAATTCTTCATATCAAGAGCGACTTCGAAATTCGATCAGAAAATTAAAATTACACTAAAGTGGAGACACGTACCAACTTTGGGAGTGGGGGCAGTGAGAACTGCCTGGGGGGCGGACGATAACCCTCTCTTCAGTCCGAGGGAATCCCTGCGTGAAGCTTCGAATGGCCGCGCAAGAGGTAACGAGAAAGACCTCAAACCCTGCCATCCCAATTTCTGAGGACCCCTGACGCCCTTTTGCACCGTGAACGCGGCCTCGATCTTGCCACAAGCTCCACAAGTCAGCAGGCGAAGAGGCCGGGGAACGGAAGCGGTCACAGCAAGGAGACTCATGTGCGCAGCGCGAGGCACTGATCGTGCCAAAATTCCTTGGGCGTGCATGGCTGCGCCTCCCCCTGTCAAGATTGCCTGTCAGAATTCGGGACCGGCGAGATGTAAAATGCTGCTCGCCCTCGGAACCTCAGTTTTTGTTCCCGATCTTTCTTCTGCCCAAGAGACCAAGATTCGCTCGAGAACCTCCGTCCCTCGCTTGCTCCCTCGCTCCCTTCCGGCTATGGCGTAAATCGCAAACCCACGCTACGTCCAACGCCGACTTGGCCCGCGCCTCACCACCCAATCCTCCCTGCTCTTCCCATCGTCCTCTCTCCTTTCCTTACCTCCTTCCCTAAACTCCTCCTCCTCTGTCTTCCATTTCTTTCTCTAATCACGAAATTAATGTGTCCTGTCTCTATCCTATCCCCGAGCTCGTAGAGTCAACGTAGTTGGATTTTATCAGTGCTGATTAAAATAAAATTCGTCTTTCCTTCCCTTTCCTTCGCAGAATCCTTTGCGAGTTGATGGATACATTCCTTCTTCAGGCCGACTTAAATTGGGTGATAATTAATTCGGACCTAACACGTGATTACAAGAAGCAAGGGCAAACTTACCGCAAGAAGTGGTCGTTGACGAGGGCGGGATCTATTTAATATTAGGGAATTCACCCGAAAATTCAAGGGTGGATTAGGAGATCAATGACTGTATGGATCAGAATTCGGTCGGGAAATATTGAAGGAGGTGATTGTCTTGCGGTCAAAGCGGTCGAGATCGCAGTCCTCGCGCCTCCAAGTGTGTGCCTCCAGCTCGGTTCGCCTCCAAAGCATGACAGTGACCAGAAATGGCGATCTGGAACATTGGGAGCATGATTGGATCCAACGTCGACTACATCTTCCCATCCTTTTTGCCTTACAATGCTACCTGATACGCTTATATTCCTGCATCGGCATTATAATTTAGAATTAATCAATCCTCATGTCTCCCGAAAACCGGTTCACATTTCCCATTGGTGGGTAGAGGTGAATCTTGGCAGGGTGTAACTTTCTGACAAAAATGTCTCATGACGCGCGGAGGGCTCATCACGGTCCTGGAGTCTCTCTGACAATTATCATTTTCTCCAATTTCAAGAAAATTGAACATCTGCTATTTGTTCATCAGTTGAAACATGACATTATGACATTAAATGAAATTTTGGGTTCATTCAAAACCCAACCGTGTAAGGGAATTATCAAAAGATAACCTTCGATATTCTCAAACAGACGAAGATCACCATGCATACGAGCCCAACCAGCAGCAATTAATCGGGCCGGCCTACTTTCCACCAAATTCAGAAAGAAAAGGCGATCACGGTCCTCACCTCCTCCCTCGACACAGATTTAGTTTGTGAAGAATGTTACTCAATGACGTCGATGCACTTCTGACGTGCACAGGTCTCCAGCTACACCTTTTCAAGAACATATTCAGCTATACCATTGGGAAATTGGAAACGACACTTCTCGCGGGAAAGTGCAAGGTAATAAGCTGTCAGGATCAACCATTCCAAAACAAACAGACTTTGGTGGAATCAATATCTAGTGAAAAAATATTGTGTGTGATATATAATTCATATAGCACCAGGCCTCTTCAAATATGGCATTTGGGGGTGCTTGTGACATATTTGTCATGAATAACTTTTGCGTGATGTCATAAATAAATTTGATAGTCCGAGTACACTTTCATTCTTGTTAACTATTGAAAACTTTTTGTTCTCTCTTGTCTGTTGTTCGTGAAATGATGTTTATGAAATGTCATCAAAGAAACGAGAAACATCATCTAATGTCTAATCTAATGTCTCTAACGAACTTGACTATGGGATGAATATCTTCACGCAGGATGTTACATCCGTATTGTGTCGCTTTTGCCAAATATTGGCCCTGAAAAAAAATCGGACAGAAACGAAAATTTGCCTATAACCATAAAATGCTTCAAGGTTCCATATCGACTACAGTTGGAATCATAACATCTCAAAAATCAACATTTGTCAAATATAGAGTGAATATTGTGCTCTGTAACTTAACTAACTTTCTTTTAATACTATTCTACTCGTTTTGTTGAATCGGGTTCTACGTTGTATTTGGATATCAATGTAATCATCGTCTACACAGTTCTATTATCTTTAATTTGATCTCAAAAATGAGAATATATCCATTGATCGAATGAGGAAGAGAAGTTTTGCTCAAACACTAGATCACTAGATCAAATGCCGTCTAATTCGATGAAACATATATTACTTTTTAATTTCAATTTTCCAAACTTTGTATATTTGTTGGAGCCTTTGCTAATGTTCACCCTGAATCTTCGAGTGGAAAATGATTTCTCCATGATTAGCTATGAGAAAGATGACTACAGATGATATTGTCAATGTTACGATGATACTTAAAGATATTGTCACTCCATTAAATCGTGCATTGTAAGCCATTCAAGTAAATTAAAACTATGATCATATTTTTCATATATAAAAATTTGTTGAAACCATAATAGAGTGAGATATCACAAATTTGGAAATTGCCGAGTTAGCACAGGCCTCTATATCACCAAGAACAGATACTGCGCAATCATCACAATCACACATGGCACCACTCTTCCAACGTGTATACATGTATACTGTAGTTATGGAAATAGCTCCAAAGGATGAGTGGACTCTACGACATTCCAGGTTATTTGGTGCTTCAAATTATTCCGAAAATGCGGAGCTTAGGCTAATCTTTCAGCAAAGGGAGTAGCTGGAAATTTGCTGAGAAATGCTTTAAGCGCAGCATTTGCTCTACCACCTAAGCTCGTGGAGACTCTCGAATATTTCCTTCCAGCTGTTTTGATTACGTACTGTCATTCTGTTCTTTTTCACTTTCAAATATGCGAAATACACCTCTTGTAACTAAATCGTGTGGGTCAGAAGAAATTCACTTCGCAAAGTTCTCGAAAAATGCGGGTTTTGGAACTGTAATATCAGAGACACAACCACCTAACCAATACTTGGGGTCAATGTGAGATACTCGTAACAACCACGACTGGACAATGCCTTTAATATTCAGTGAATAATACACGTTCTTTTACATGCACCTCTTGTGACGGAGGTCTGAACCTACCGCTCCCATACATTTACAACACTTTCACAACATCCAGGAAACCGGGCTTTGCCTCGTTCGCTGCGGCGATGTCATCTGCTGATGCAACAGCGACAACAACTCCACTATCCCTAACGTACTCCAGAACGCTTCCAAACTTTCTCAAGTCCTCCACACTGCAGTGCAGAAATGTTACATTCAGACTACAGAAATCATGAAGGCAAACAGGTGTAAAGGTATTTCTCTATTCTCATACCCAACAACATAACAATGCGCAGAAGTGAATGAAGACTGTTAGCGGATCAAAGTCGGAATAAAAGACTCATATGGAGCAAAAAGACAACTCCTAATCTATCTTCTTCTCACCTTGTAGAAAGAATTTGCTCTCGTCGCTGTTGTCTTTTTTCCCAAGTAACACCCTGAATGTAATGTCTCATACTGCACAACAAAGTCAGGAGTTTCAGCTGCCGTTCTGATCAAGAAATTTACTTCGGGTTGACTGTAAGCTCGTCGTTCTCAACCAGTTTTGTTGATGGGTCATTTCACAAAATATGTGCATAGAGCACAACAAACTGCACAACGATTAAAGCCATAAAAGGACAGACTCATGACCACAGTTGACCCATCGTGGTATATCGAAACACACCTGGAGAAACCCTTCGCGTCAGGTAGCTCATAAGAATCCGTTTCTTTAATCGCTGCGAATATGGCCTTCGTCAGGGCCTCATCATCCAACTCAAGATTTTTTAAGAATTCTACCGTGCCATCGTAATTATCCAGAGTTTTGAGCAGGTTAGGATCACGGCCCGACAGATATAAGAATACTCCTGTGGTAAGAAAATTCATGAAGTCAGCGAAATTGTGTTCTGGAGCTAGCTTATCTCTAGCCCTCAGCTTGCAAAGCACTGGCGCTGTGAAAATATCAGATATGAAGTTGCCCAGAACCAACCTGAATCCTCATCAAAATAACAGGAACAACCGGAAGCACCACCGCTAACTCGTACGCGGTCCCAAAGCCACGTCTCGTTAATGTACTCCGTGATCACAAAAACACAACCATCCATCTCGTACCCGGCGTCATAAAGGCACGCAGCTTTTCCCACATAGTTAACCTGCGTGGCACCGCTTGGTTTCAGTACACACAACGTCGCCCTCGTTGACCAGCGAATTTGCTTCAAAATTCTATTTCAATATTCCACTTCAGACAAACAGTTTTAACAAAATTTGCTCTATGTGGCGTTAAAGTAATACCTTCGTGGGAATTACTAGTCCTTCGTTCACACGATGAAGAACGGGGTTCCAAGTATATGTCCTGTCGCCACTTGTCTCCGGAAAAGCATCGAGAAAGTTTGATACATGCGGTTCGGCGCTCGTGAGAATCTTTTCATCAGCTGTCAAGTTTACAATTACACCTTTACGTCCAAGTACTGCACTTCTGATGTCCTCCAAAGACTGACATACTGCTGGCCAATCTTCTTCGACCAGCTTTTCCAAAGATCGCAGATAATTTAAATAGCTGAGAACAGGCAAACAAATGGTGTTACGTTGCATAACTCTGCACCATGGGCAAAACCTGGCAGGCCCATTAGCACAAGCCCAGGTGAGAAGAATGAACAGTCCAGTCGAGTCGATGTCAATCGTTGAGAATCAGACGGAGAGCGATTCCTATAGCCAGCTACTTGCGAACAAATATTATAGCATAACTGTTCGGACAAGGTGTCCTGTATCCAACTCGATCCAACTTATGAAGCTTATCAGGTGTCTTTTCCCGAACACAATGAAGATCGTGTTACAAGCCACTGAATGCGACAAGAAGCCTTGTTTTGAATAAACCTTTTCAGTTGAAACAGCAATTTACCTGACACCAAACCATTGTTCGCCTAACCATCCTTCTACATTCAACATTCCGATCATTCTGATGGAAGCAATCAAGTGTTCATCGACAACTCGACTCTGCAGAAAATTTAAAACACGATAAGAAATAAACGAAGTGAAGATGACTGGCCATTTCTTACTTCAATATTCGAAGCCAGCTCGTTTCCAAGCAACAAAATTAATGTAAACAACGCAGCCGAGAAGTCTGGGGAAAACTACCTCCATGTCTGACTTCCGTTGTGAAACTAACTGCTGGAATCGTTGCTCGTTGAATTGAACGTCTTTCAGGACTACCTTCATCTGTAGCACGTTCAAATTTCACAATTAGAACGTCCAACAATGACTTCCGCTAACCATCGCCTGGCGGAAATTGTAATACTAAAAAAATAAAATCAAGATTGATGCAAGAACAATGAACCGTGAAAAGTAAAGTCGGTTTGTAAATAATATCGACTTCGAACCAACGGAATAGAAGAAGGTCAGGCCAAATAATACTTGGAGTCACTGTACTGCCAGAGGTCAAAGAGAGCAGTGTTCGGGTGGTATATACGAAGAAGTTGAAAATATACCAGATTAAAAAGATCGGCAATTTGATTGGCCATGGCTTTGCTTTGGATCATAAGGTAGCTCAAAGCTTCTTTTTTGCCATGAACCGAGCTGACGCAGCCGAACACAGAAATACCCCCAGTCTTCCTCCCAATAAGCTGACTTAATTCCACAAAGTCCATATCTTTCGTACCCATTTCAAGCAACGATTGGCTGCACAGATAAAGCAACATAATTTAGACCCCAGTATGTGGATGCCAACATACAATTGAGAAGCTCACAAGACGATATGAAATAAACAGACACAGGGAACCACTATCCCGCAGCTTCAATACCCATCGACCAATTACCAAGAAAACATTCCAGTCAATAGTAGGCAAAAGGCTTCCAGAAACGCTTACTCCTCAAACTGTAAACGCTAACAAAAACTCCACAATTCAAAGAAATCACAGGACCGGGGATGATGAAAAGTGCATACCGGAACAAAGGCACAAGAGGAAGAAGATCAGCTCTCAGTGTAGATATGTCGAAGGCCACCTCGGTGTATAACACGCCATTAGTGAATATGTCATGTCGGAGTACGGTCGCACCATTGATCTCGCCCACCTGATCATGTAAAATCAAAACTCAGACAAAAGGAAATTCGCAACAACAGCAAACAAGGCCAGGAACTGAACAGTTTCAAATTTAACGTCAATTTCTACGTATCACCCTGAACTTCCAGGCCTAACTGAGACGGGAGTCTCGACATGGAGACGAAATACAGTTCAATTGATATTACGGTTTAAATTATCTCCTAGCAGAAAACACATCACAAAACACTGTCGACACGAAGACATGAAAATGAGTGGGAGCACGTACAGCAATGGGCACATATATCGGCTCCTTGGGAATATCCTTCAATGACAAACATGGAACAGCCCTCAAAGCTTCGGGAGGATCTGGTGTCTCTTGTCTCACTCGCAGCTCCTCCGTGGCACGGACCAGCTCCGCAATATCCTCTTTCGTCATGCTTGCCTTCACTTTCGCTAGTCTTTCGGCTTCGGCAGCTTCATCCTTTCCTCCCTTTTCAATATCAGGCTGCAGCAAACACCGCCGATGAGCTGAACACTCAACGCCCATACACTATACCTCATACAATACAACGCAACATACGCTTTCAACGATAAGCATGACAAGGAAAACAGAGAAAACACATGAACTTACCTGCAGCTCAACGGTTACACGGTGAGTGTTATCAAGAATGAATTTTTTGATGAGAGGTGAGAAAACTCCTTTTACACCTTCGTTGGCAATGCGCTCCTTCAAGGCCTCCAATGGCTTGGCAAATCTGAGAGCCTCAAAAGGATCACCCCCGTAAACCCATTTCGCCTACAGTACATTTTAGAAGAGAAAGTATTAGCTAAAGCTACGTAGTCTCACTAGACTAAAACCTACGACATGTAAAGGTATCATCACTCATCATGAAAGTGTACAGTGACACCTTCCCGACATAGTGCATCCTGGACGAAACACACAGTTTAATGACAGATCGCGAAGCCAGCGACAAACAGAACTCGTATTCTGCGTTCTGTACGTACCACTGAGCGCAACATCAAGGATAGGCCCCTCGGGTATGAGCCAGTGTTGTTCTCCCGAAGAGAAAATTCATATGTATTGATTGAGGCCTCAACAGCTTCAGCGGTGAATCCTTCGTCCACCAATCTATTCAACGTCTTAAGTAAAAGTTCTTCTACCTCCACAGTCTTGTCTGCGGCAACACCCTTCATTCCAATGCCAAATGCGGGCTGAGGGATGTCGTCGTCTAGTCCACTATGAAAAAGTGCTTCTCCTAGTCCACTGTCCATCAGTGCCTTTTCCAAAGGAGAAGCTGGAGTTCCGAGCATTAACAGATTCAAGATACCTAGAGCCAACTCTGTTTCTGCGTCCAGAGGCTCATCGCAAAGAACCCAGCTGATGTAAACCAAGTGTTTCTCCCCTGTATCGCCTGCCTCCCCCGCTGCGTACTTTTCAACAACTCTCTTCGGTTCAGTGAATAGCTTTTGTACTCCAACTTCAGATTCTTTGGCGGACTGACTAGCCTCGAAGCTATCGAGGTAAGCTGCAAAAGTGAAGCAAACATTAGATGACTCGGCTTCACAGGAACCTGATGCATAAGAGGTGGACAAGTTTGTTTTCTCGTTATCAATGAAAGCACTTTGGTTACAACTACGTGCAGTAACAGCAAGATCAAACCTAGCTTCGTAAGCTTGATAAATCTTATCGAGCATATAGGTCTAATCCAACCAAATGCAACCACTCACTACTAATTACGCGCAGGCGCTCATTTGGGTCATCATCCCCGTAAAACCACAGGCGAGCATTACTTGGGTGATAGAATTTTCGGTGAAATTCCTGCAAAAGCTCCACATGTTTCGAAAAACGTTTAGAAGCCTTCCAGTCGATTTTACATATTCATCAAAGTCATGACTCGACAAGAAGTCCTTGTGCTTGTCTCGATACTTATGAACCTAATAAAGTCTGGGTCTTCACCGAATATAAGGATAAATTGAAAAGGGTTGGAGAGGTTCAACACAGGAGAAAATTTTAACAGAAATAAATAAAATAAGTCCATAAATCCAAGTTTACATTATCACATCAACGTTCTGTTTCTGATAATCCAGTCAAGTTTGTTACGATTTTCTGTTTTAGAATCTCACTTCAGCCAGTAACAAGGCCAAAACGACATTCACTTGGTTCTTCGCACATTTTGACGAGGTACAAAAAGATAAATCTGTTAAAACGTCCTCGTAACTTGCGCGTAACTCATTCATACAACAGACAGTGCTGCTGTCAACAACTCAAAAAATCAAAACCCAACTCAATACGAACCTGAAACTGCTCAAAGGTCGAGTCGGGAATAACAGTCGGATCGCCTCCAATGTTCACACCATAGGTGTTGTCAGGAAACGAGGCCTAAGACGGCATCCAACACCAGAGTGTGAAAAACAAATCCGACAGAGGACATCATCAGAACCCACCAGACCGAATAAAAGAATCACAGGTATTCTTGTAGTGGAGAAGTCGGAACAGCAATTACCTGCAGGGAAAACTGGGCCATTATGAACTCTGGCTCAGAATACAAACCCTTCGAGTGATTGAATTAACCACCTAGAACATGTATTTACGCATCAGAACAACATATGTTTTCCATTGTTCGTTAGGGATTAAATCCACATCTCCGTATAAACAAACATGTATTTCTTGCAATGTCTTGAACAATCGACCAATTATTACGTTCGGTTTGTGAGCGAGAGAGGAGGACATGCTTCACAAAGTCAAACTCATGCAGGCGACCATAAAATCCGACAATCTAATCAAACGCGGTTACGCAAAGCATATATGGGAGTCAATGATCGAGAGCAATGAAAAGCTTTTGAAACCTAGTTAGTGTCATAAAGTGGCATACCTTTGTAGGTCATATCTTCTGAGGACTCATTGAGCTCGTAATGCCATCCCTCTTGTTGGAATATTTGTACATCATTTACACAACGTGGGAAAAAAACAGCATCCAGATGTACATCCACCAGATTGTAAAAGTCCTATATCCAGCAATATCGAACACAGCACACCACGTCAGCAAAAACAGTTTTTACCCAAGATCTCGCCTGCTTAATCAACAGCGAATGAGAAGGAACTCGTAAGAGCGTCAATGGTCCGTGTCTCTAACAGCAACTGATAGACTTAGCCTCGACACTGCACTAGGATCACAGAAGTATTAAAACCAACAAAACAGAGGGTTAGGTGCACGTAATATTATATTACTTTATTTATCTAAAAGAACGCTAAAACATACCTGTAAATTGGTCGAAGCTACACTAAAGGAAGTCCGATCAATCTCAATGCCCCTCCTTGCGTAGGCATATAAACTGCTCTTGAAAAGTTCTCCAACGGGATTTTTCAACGGGTATTTCCTAGACCCACACATAACACTGCGCTGTAGGATGTGGGGGATCCCAAAGAGAGAATCTTGACTGCACAAAAGAATCAAAAGTACGTCACACCATAGTGCTCATAAGAGAGCTTGCAGATCGGTAAGAGAATGGTGAAAACAAAACGATAACACATTCTGAAAAACAACTTGCATGCAAACGCACTTAGTCAAAAGTAGGCCCATGTATGTTGGAAGAAAGTGACTTACGCTGGTGTTCTGAAGACAATTCCAAATACTTTTTTCTCATCGCTATTTGACACAGACATAATTTCAGCTCCGGTTTTCTTGTGTCGATAGAGAATTGCTGTCGAGTTGTACTCGTCTATGAACTGCTCGCTAATTACCTCATAACCTTGTTGCTTCGCCATTTCTGGATTCGCTCCTGCAGTAGAAGCAACCACAATCAAGAAATCATGCGCTGATCCAGGTACATAGGGCGGAGAGTCTACCACTTCTAATTGAACCTCAGCCTGCTCGCAGGGTTTAGGAGATAGCATCCTTATCACAGTTCGAATTATCTGAACGATGCACCTTACTAGTATAAAACTGGTCGAGAGTAATTGTCATGTCCAGTAAAGAAAACCCACGAAGAGTCTGTGACAGCAGCAACTTAAAAATCTTCAAGGCAGCGTGATCTGCATTCTCGGACCTTGAAGGGCACAAAATCTTTGACCCCCATTCAAAAACCACGAAATCTGAACGCGGAATTCAGCTGGGGGCAAAAACTTCCACTCTCCCCGAAAATTCTTCATTTCATGAGCGACTTCGAAATTCGATCAGAAAAATAAAATTACAGAAATTGGACACACTTACCAACTTTGGGAGTGGGGGCAGTGAGAACTGCCTGGGGGGCGGACGACAACCCTCTCTTCGGTCCGAGGGAATCCTTGCGTGAAGCTTCGAATGACCGCACCAGAGGTAACGAGAAAGACCTCAAACCCTGCCATCCCAAATTTCTGAGGACCACTGACGCCCTTTTGAATCGTGAACGCGGCCTCGATCTTGCCGCAAGCTCCACAAGTCAGCTGGCGAAGAGGCCGGGGAACGGAAGCGGTCACAGCAAGGAGACTCATGTGCGCAGCGCGAGGCACTGATCGTGCCAAAATTCCTTGGGCGTCCATGCCTGCGCCTCCCCCTGTCAAGATTGCCTCTGTCAGAATTCGGGACCGGCGTGATGTAGGATGCCGCTCGCCCTCGGAACTTCAGTGTTTCGTTCCCGATCTTTCCTCTGCCCAAGAGGCCAAGATTCGCCGAAAGTCCTCCGTTCCCCCCTTGACGAGGTATGGTACTAACTATGGCAGGCTCTATTTCGAATTAGCAATTTCGCCCGAAATTTCAATGGTGGATGAGCAGACCAATGGCTGTATGGATTAGAGTTCGGTCGGGAAATATTAAGTTGCTCTTTCCTTTTTCTTTTCTTTTTGAGACAAATGGTGACATTTCCATTGCAAGAGTGAAAATACATCATCACCGCAAAACCTGGCAAGGTGAAACTCGCCGGCGATACCTTTATAAAAAATTTTCGACCTAATAATACATAGACAAACGCTGATTACCTAAACACCCCACACACTGGCCGAATGTAATTCCAGTGAATGGAATCTCCCTGATGAGAGCAAAGGGTGGCAGTGCTGGCCCAACACCTGCAGAGTGCGAGCCGCGCTTTTTGGCCCGCCTGGGGCGGCTGGCGACTGAGCGAGATGGAGCGATCCGAAGCCATTCTGGCTAAGTCCAGCACGGCATCCCAGATCGAGCTTTCCAGCTGAGGGGTCGGCCAGGTCGCATTTTGAAAGACCTGAGCGTCTCGCCGCAGCCAGAGGACCCAGAGCACCGAACCACGAAGAAGCGACCACGTTCGCTGGAAGCCTAGCAGGTGGGCCGGTAAGTCCATGCCGAGAAGGCATTGCTCCCACGTAAGTCGCGGCCAGGGCATGTTAGTACGAGAGATCCCTGCGAGGAGATCGAGGACGGTACCTGCGAACTCCCCAGCAGCTGGGGCCGCCGCACATTCAAAGAATGCATGGTGGATGCACTCCGGCACATCTCGATCCGACGACGTGACGCCATTGGTTGACTGCAATAGCCTTACTGTACACACTCCACATGAAGGCGGTCTCGTTACGAGGGCGGCCAGTGTCCCACAGTGCGTTCCAGTTCGGGATGAAAGTTGCTCTTTCCTTTGAGCCTTCGTGGATTTTCACTTGGGCCCTTGTTTCGTCGCGTTTTGCTCATCGATGTTCCGCACCCTCCTTCCTTCCTTCGAGAGGCTTGAAGGAGGTGATTGTCTTGCGGTCAAACCGGTCGAGATCGCAGTCCTCGCGCCTCCAAGTGTGTGCCTCCAGCTCGGTTCGCCTCCAAAGCATGACAGTGACCAGAAATGGCGATCTGGAACATTGGGAGCATGATTGGATCCAACGTCGACTACATCTTCCCATCCTTTTTGCCTTACAATGCTACCTGATACGCTTATATTCCTGCATCGGCATTATAATTTAGAATTAATCAATCCTCATGTCTCCCGAAAACCGGTTCACATTTCCCATTGGTGGGTAGAGGTGAATCTTGGCAGGGTGTAACTTTCTGACAAAAATGTCTCATGACGCGCGGAGGGCTCATCACGGTCCTGGAGTCTCTCTGACAATTATCATTTTCTCCAATTTCAAGAAAATTGAACATCTGCTATTTGTTCATCAGTTGAAAGATGACATTATCTAATTAGAGAGTTATATTAACTCGAATTCTTTCAATTATTCTAATTTTCCTAAGATATTTTTAACTTAATATATCGAACTTCATCAATATATCGTCTGGTGTATCTGAAACGATGATGCGCACAGACCCATGCATTCTTTCATTTCATGAGAAAATTTTGCAATTCAATTCTTTTTGAGTGAATTACAATTTCCGAAATTGATTCACCGAGGCAATTAAAGGATATTATTTCACTATCACATAAAAGTATTGCAATTTGTGGATACTTTGCACAATTATGTGCACCAAGAAAATTCAGTACTAGTCATTTTGCAGATACAAATCAAATTACCAACCATATGCAATGATAACCAACCCAGCGGGAAAGAAAAAAAAAAGACAAATATGGGTAATGAAGTACATAAAGGAGTAACTGCCGTGTAGGGTTTTTATAATCTATCCTCATCAGTTGGAATTAAAAGCAGTGTCCCCGAATAAAAAATGAATTTATTATTATTTACCTGAACATAAGATACAAGGAACAGGAAATAAATACATAAAATAAATCTTTCCTATGCATAGCGCGTCCAGCAGCCAGCCGGGAGTGCCGAAAACATAGATATATGAGATAAAGCTTCTCTTTGAAAAATTTCCGTTGTAATTCAGTGATTTAGATAGAAATGATATATTACATCATAAAAAAATATGTATATGATCAGATAATATATAAATACCAAATTAAACTAAGATCCACTCAATTGATACACTATTATTATTAATGCAGCATCATAAATTGATGCACTCGGTATATTTCACCTAATATCTATGATTGGGAGTCCGTGTACAGGGCCTCGAAGGGATTTCAGTCGAGACGACATCTTCTCGATAACACTACAGTATAACAATTATTTCATGTTCGACTATGTGTTGTTTTATTTTTTGTAATAGTAATAACATTACACAGCCATTGTCCGTATTCTCATCGAGATATTCCGTGTATATTGAGAAAAGAACTTCGTACACATATCCATTCATTTATTTTTGTATTAGTCTTCCAAGATGTAAACTTATGATCAAATCAAGACACATTCAATCACATTTCGGAGTTGCACTAGCACAACAAAGGGCTTAATGAAATGGAATAGCCATAAACTTAGAAGATCTTCAAGGGGAATCCGAAAGAAGTATCAACCTAATACTTACACCCAGCTGTTCCATCACACCGGGATTGGTCACTAGCCACATGCTTTGTTTTTCACCTCGGCTTCATTAGCTTTCCATTTTTGATGGTATTTTCATGAGTACCACATGAAAAGTTCTTAACGTGCGCTTTATATTTCTCATGCATGGCTTCAGCATCCAAAGATGCAACAGAATCTCGTTCCACCCTTCGGGAAAACTTCACATTTTATTTCCTCCTATTGGATTGAAGCCTAAAGAGCTTTCGGTAGTGTACATTCTTCTTACATGCTCATCATCGATCTGCAGCGAATTAAATGAAATTTTGGTTTCATTCAAAACCCAATCGTGTAATGGGATTATCAAAAAGATACTCAAAGATAACCTTTTACCACCACAGCTGTAGGAGGATTGATTCCTCGTTGCTTCTGCCGAATAGGGCGAGTTTTAGTCTCCAACTCAATGTGATGAGTTTTGAGTGTCATATGCTTCAAATCTTTATAATTAAAGGCAAAGACATGGATATATTTGCGAAATATATCCAAAAATCTTGACTTCTCCTCCATGATAACATTTGGACCAAACTTGAGCGTGGAAAGTCTTCGACACACCTCCTCCTCGCTCATCTCCACGTTCTCCGAATTTTTCTTCACCCCCGGTTTAGTAAGCAAGTCCATGGCAGCAACCACTTGAACTTGTACATCATCATCTGAAGAATCGTCTGACGATGTTTCTTGATCAGAAGTTGACTTGTCGGTGTTGACTTCTGAAAAACTGCCACTCTCCTCACTCTCAGATTCCCAATATTCGTCGGTTGGTCTATCTAAGTCGGTAACAGAACTTCCTCCTCTTGTCAAAAGAACCTTCACCCGATGGTTCTTTGGGCCTATACTCAAATAGTCCTTGTGCCATCTATCAGTAGTTCTCACCGCCCTCAACCAAGGACGTCCCAACAGCAAATCATAACTAGCTTCCTTGAGTACTTGGAAGGAAAGTAAGGTTTGCACACCTCTCACACTTACCACAACTTTGTCAACCACACCAAGTGGTTTTACCTTCTTTTTGTTGGCCATACCAACAATTGTACTCGAAGGTCTGGAAAATCGCATCCTCAACTTCATCAACAATATTTCAGACATTGCATTTACGGCAGAACCACCATCTACTAGCACGTCTAAAACATCATGTCCATCGATCCTCACTTCGATCTTTGAGGCATGTGTACATACCTCCGAGGCAGCACCATCCACCACACCAACTTCCACATTGATCATGTGAGCCTTTCCCTTTGATCTTCGCTTCTTGATCCTTGTGGAGTTAAGGCATCCTCTTAACTCCTTCCGTATGGCTCGATTTAAAGCAATGAGTTGGACAACTGTGATATTGGCCTTTTGACTTCCTACATCTTCCACCACGTCATACTTAGCTTGAGAAGATGAAATGGAAAAGTCATTCATGCCCAACTTCTTTCTTGGTACTCTTGGTTGACTAACTACACTTGATCGTGTACTCCGACTTGGCATGTCCTCCATGGAAATTGACTCATCTGCAAATCGAGCACGTTTCTTCTCATGTGGAAGGATATCCACCTTCGACTTTGAGTTCTCTCCTTTCTCAAAGGTGCATTGATGAAGAAATACATCAATGGATGTTACTTCCTCATCCTTGGCTTGTTGTGTGGCCGGTGCATTGTTGTTGTGTCGAACTCCATCATGTTGTCGAGAGTTATGACAATTTTGCTGAAAATGAGGACCGCCACAAGTAAAACAAGAAACTGCAAAGTTTCATGGAGGTGGATTTCCTCTTGGAAGATAATTTCCATACCCTCTAGAAATTCCTCCTACACTCTGATTACTCTTCTCCCACAACTGTACTACATTGATCTTGAGGTCTGCTAGAGTTTCCGTAATAGATTTCAACTAATTTTGCAAATCTACATTAGGATTCACCATTGTGGATGAACTAGCAAGATTTGAACCCATAAATCTTCCTACAACCGGTGGAGCTACTTCTCTAGCCACCAAGCTAGAATCATCATCTTCTAAGCTTTTCTTCATTCTAATAGCAATTCGAATGGCTTTAGGTTTAGAAGAAGGCTTCTCATATCTCACCTTACTTCAGATCTCGGGTCTCAAACCTCCGACGAAGTTCTTCATGAGCATTGCTCGTGGGCCAACCATTGTAGCATCCACTTCGCCTTCACCCTTGCTCAACACCACGTGAAATCTGGACTCTAACTTCTTAGTTCTCTCCACATAGGTCCTCACCTTCTCGTTTTCTCCTTGTTTCAAGAAGGTGACCTCACACATCAGCTTTTCATTACTTTCATAAAAGCAAGCCTCACGTTTCACTCTTCGGGATTGACTAACTACTTTTTTTTCAAACTCCACCTTGAATTCTCTTGTATTGGAGTCTAGAGACACTATAACATCCAAACCTTGAGGTACTTTGGATAACCTAACTTTCCAGCCCCCTTGATCACTCATTTTTCCACAAGGTGGAAACCACTCAAAAGGTCTCTCCCAGAAACGTTATCTACTATGCCAAAACTGCGAATAAAGAAACCCAAAACTTTTGCTCTCGTATCTTGATTTTGTACCCCCTGAAATTCAAATCATCATAACTTTCTCTTTAGACGTGATCTTTGAGTGAAATTTTGACTTGCACGTAGATAATCTTCCAATACACACGCGTAAGAAGTTTCAAAGCCTAACTTGAAATACAGGAAAAGTAATTTACTCTGTACAAGCTTTCCAGAGAGCAAACTTTTGGTACCCGTGAAAACCCCCTCAACTTCTAACTTTCATATCTTTCTCGTTACACATGATATAGACCTGAAACAAAACCGTAAATGTTTTTGATCTTCCACTCTAAAATCAATAAGAACTTTGAAAAATATCTTCAAAAATACTTTTTCGGTGTTTAAATCACTTTTCTCTCAAAAAGACATGTTTACGTGAACAAAACATACAAAATCACTTGTTGGCTATCATCATATGAGATTATTGGATAAACAGAGGAAATTTTGCTCTCAAGCACACTCTCCGCTTCTTCATTCCGCAATGTTAACACCAAGTGATCCCTCATGGATACTTTCTCTCAAGCTAGAAATCGAATCCTAAACATTCCGCCTCTAGAT